TTCTTTTTTTGCTTAACCGCGGAATTCGGTCACTTCCTCTTCTCAGCGACTTTCAAAAATCAACCATTATTTTTTCTTTTACATTTTTGTAATAGATAAACACATAATAATATATATATATATATATATATAAGTATATATATAAATATATAATTATAGTATATATTATACACATATATATGCCAATTTCCATATATATATGTTAAACAAACATAATTATAAAAATCGTATGTGGCTTTATCGTCATTTTGTTTTCTCGGTAAAATTGAAATTTTTTGATCCAGTAATTTCAGTTTTTTTTATTTCTTTTCTTTTTCTTTCAAATAACTGACGATCGCGACGATGCGTGCATACATTAGAATTATTTAATCTCGACTCCTATCTGAAGGAGGGAAGAGATGGATAATGATTGGGAAAAGATAAAGACTTAGGAAAAGGGAATAGGGAAGAGTAGGGGAGAGGGTTGATTAAGATGGATTATTTAAGAGAATTTGTCAATTTTTCGTTAATAAATCGCGTTATTTACAATATTTTACAAAGAAAGCTGCGATATTTTTCCAACATTTTTCTTTACCTTCGTCATTATCGTTACCACCAGTTAGACTTGTATTTAATTATATTTACCGTTTTTTTTTATACAATATTATTTATATCGCATACTTGCAAAGCTGCTTTCAGTCATTTGTTAATGAAAAATATCACGCCTACGTTTAATGGAATATATTTATATGTACATTATACGAATCAATGTTGCCAACATCGTCGATTTAAATACAAAACTCGATCGTTATCCTTTCAATTATTTGATTTTATTTGTTTGTATTTATTTGTAACTCTAATTGTCTTACATATTTTTCAAGGAAATTAAAAAGAAAAAAAAGAGCAAGTGTATTTGATGATCTTAAGTATCATCTTGAAATATTTTTTTTCTGATTTTTCACAAATTCGTTTCGCAACGAAAAACAAATTATTTTTCCTTTCCCTCCTCAAGAACATGACATTAAAAACCACATACAATTAGAATTTGAAAAAAAAAAACCAGAAAAAAATCAAAATATTATTCACATTTATATTTCTATAAATTGTCTCATTAGATACAATGAAAAGATCATCGTCATTTTATTAGATTACTTACAATTTGTATAATCTACATTGTGTATGATTGAATTTTCAAGTATTTTCTTGTTTTTCTCTATTTGTCTCTTTTAAAGTGTAAAAAGAAAAGAAAAGAAAAGAAAAATTAAAATGAAAATTACAATTAAAAATAAAAAAGCAAAAAAGAAAAGAAACCTTAAACGAAAGTTAGAATTAAACGCCAATTAATTATAGCCAAAAAGTAGAATTAATATAGCAAAAAATAATAATAAAGAAAATATAAGAATAAGATAATGTAATATAATATAAGAGAGATAAGATAAGAAAATAAAAACACAAACACAAACACAAAGAAGACTAAGTAGAAGAATTATTTTAAGAAATTCTTTTTTTTTCTTCATACACATTTATAGTTATTATTAGTAATAGTAATAATATTAATATTAATATTAATATTAATATTAATATTAATATTAATATTAATATTAATAATTTTTTAATATTAATATCGCATTAATATTAATATTTCATTATCAATGTTATAATTATAAGCAACATCATCATAATCATTACTATTTACCATCTCGTCATCATAATCATAATCATTATCATTATTATTATATATCATCATTATTATTTTCTATTATAAAATCTCGAATGTATTATAGGGTTTTTTTATAATAGTGAACGCGTATTGAAAATAGCTGAGAGAGGCAGACTCGTATTTCCAAACGTCGTTGTTTTTCTTTTATACTTCATACATAATATTATAGTCAATATTAATAATATAATACAAAGAACAAAAATGTATAATATATAATCAATGCGCCGGTTTATACTTCATGGAGAATAATAAAGAGTAGTGGTTGATGTCAGATAGGGAGGGGGGAATGAGAAAAAAATAAGAGTGTGAGGAATGGAGGGTGAAGCATGGGATGGCGCAAAAATAATCCTATCATACAATACACCTTCTTCTTTTCTTTTTTGTATATATATATCTTTAATTCTGTGCACATTTACTTTTTCTGACCTTTCTTTTTTTCATCATTTTGTTTGCGATTGCTATTTTAGCTTGTTGCTTGACCTTCTTGCTTATTTGTTTGTTTTTTTTTTTCTAATGAACGCGGTTATATTCGTTTATACAATGTACAATAAGTTTTCAGTTAACGTTCAAAGATATTACCGTTAAACGCTGCAATTATCGAACAAAATAGGAAAGGACGGATAAAGTGGGATGAGAAGAGAAATAAGGGTGGGTTTAAAGGAGGGAGATGGGGGTGGGACTGATTGTAGGAATAAGAGGTGAAGAAAAGAGAAATTTTCTTTTCTTTTTCCTAGCACTTAGTCTTTTGTCAAAAATATTTGTATTTTACAATTTGAGATAGAAGGTGAAGGAAAAATTGGGAAGGGGGGGATTAGGTAATTTCTATAATATAAGTTTGGATATATATGAAAAAAAAATGGACCACAAGGAGAAGGATATAAGGAGGAGAAGGGGCAACAGCAGCAGCAGCAGCATATTAGAACGTAAACCATATTTAAATTTAATATAATTAGTAATTATTATAATACACAATATATATATTCACAGAGTCCGTTAAAAAAGGGGGAGCAGGAATTCCCGTGTGAAACAAAATATCCGTTTTTGTTTGTTTTGTTTTTCTTTTTTTCTTTCTTTTTTTTCCTTTAAATTTACGCGTACTCTCGCGTTTATCAGCATGTAACGTCGTATCTATACACATTTGTTTATTATATCACAATTTACAAAATTCGAGGGAAAAATGGGGGTAGGGGGAAGGTTCGACGGTAGAGGAATTTTTGAAGGAGGATAAAAATGGAATTGGGGAGAAAGGAGCGTTGATGTGGATGTGAGATAGAATAAAAAAAGAAAAGTATATATATATATATATATCATTAAGAAAAGAAAAAATAAACAATGGCGCCCGTTTTCTACTACTAATCTTAGGGCAACGAATATGTAAAACGAAAAAAAAGAAGGAGAAAATACATTTTATATATATATATATAAATGTGTGTGTATTATATATAGTGTCGACACATTAGTTGGATTGATTTTCTCCTTATTATTTGCCTCTGTTTCTCTTTTCTAAGTAAATCACACACACGTGTTTAAAAAGAGAGAGGAAAAACTTATTAATAATCGTATTTTAAAATAAAAAAAATACAAAGGAAGAAAAAAAAAATATATATATATACATGTATGTATGCATATGCATATATATATATCTATATAGTAGAAGTGGAAAAGTATCGAAAAAAAATAACGAAAAAAGAGAAGGAAAAAAGAAGAAAAAGATGCAAAATTAGATAATAATAATAATAGCAATAATAATAATAACACTTATATAATTGTATCTTTCCGTTCGCCTTTCGAAATTTGTCACGATGATTAAAACGAGCGATTCAAAAAGTTTTGTTCGTTTTTTTAATAATAATTTTGTGGTATTACTTTTTTGTATAAAAACATTTTTTTTTTACTTTTTTTTGTTTCTTTCTTTTTTTTATTTTTTTTTATTTTTTTTTTTTTTTTTAATACGAATGTTCGAAGCAGTCAGGGGGCAGCAGATCAGATCATCATTTAACAGTCAAGTTCAAATGTCAATTTTTTGGCTGACTTTAATCATAATTAATCATTCATTCCCATCGAAATTAATTTTGTGCCTTAACTTCAATTCTATAATTGTCAAACGTAACAACTATATTCTTACAATTAGATATAAAGGATATACCTGTATTATATCTCCTCTAAACTCTATTCTTTCTTTATCTCTAACTCTATTTTTCGCATTTAATTCTTTTAAAAAATCTTACTATCCCCTTTTTTACATTATACATAGACGATTTGATTCGAAAATTCGTGAGCTGTGATGTGATTGATTGATCATCGAATAAAATATATATTTCTCTATCGCGAAACGGAAACAATAAAAGAGAAAAGAAAAGAAAAGAAAAGAAAAAAAAAAGAAAAGAAAAGAAAAGAAAAGAAAAGAAAAGAAAAGAAAAGAAAAGAAAAGAAAAGAAAAGAAAAGAAAAGAAAAGAA